CCCTCCCTCCTCCTGTCTCCCAGCTTCCTGGAGACTCCCCCGCCTCCCTCCCAGAGGTATCCCCCGGGTCATTATGTCAGGGGAAGAGAGAATAGAAACAGGGCCAACGTGCAGGGAGAAAAGTTTTCTGTTGTTTTAACATGGAAATTGACCAATTTGCCGTGAACCCAGTTAGGCACATTATCCACTGATTTCTCTTGTAGTGACCTCCTGGGTTTAACTTTTGGGGAACATCCTGTTGTGTCCAGCTGTGTAGCTTGACGATAGACAACATGGGGTGATTTTGAACAGTCTGCAAGAGTCTTAGGTTTGAACTTCATAAGCTGATAACTTCAAAGCAAATTTTCACTGTCAAAGAGATTGTTTATAAATCAGGGCGACTCTACGACTAATGAAATCAGAGCTAGAACTGCCTGGGCTTATACTGCGGAATGAAATAAGAATTCAGGTTCGACGCCCTGCTGGGCATCTGGGTGTTAAAGGTTTGGCGTGTCGAGCTTCAGTGGCAAGGAAGCCTTTGGAATCGACTCCTCTAGAGATCTTTAAGTATAAACGACAGTAATAACAGTCCTGTAATGGTAATAACAGCAATAACAACAGTGGCGGTGGTAATGACAGCCATCGCTGGGGTAGTGATGGTGGTGATGATAGCCCTGCGGGTACCGTCGATCGGGCCCCTGCGATGATCAGGCACCTGGAAATGGTTTGTGTCTGTTATTTCTAATCCTCACAGAAACCCTGTGAGGTGTGGATTGCCGTATCCCATTTCACAAATGAGGAGACAAAAGCTTGGGAGGTAAGATAGTGGCTTGGTGCTGTTAAGCTCATAAGCCATTTGGGCTCTTGGATTTGAATCCACGTCAGTCTGTTATCAGTCTCAGACCCCTGTTGGGTGTGATACAGGCTTGCTGGGTGTAGTATGGTTTTTGTGGGTACAGGTTTTGGTGGGTGCAGTACGGGCTTGGTGGGTGTAATACGGGATTGGTGGGTGTAATACGATCTAGGTGGGTGTAATATGGGCTTAGTGGGTGCAGTATGGGCTTGGTGGGTGTTATATGGGCTTGGTGGGTGTAGTACAGCCTTGGTGGGTGCAGTATGGGCTTGGCGGGTGTAATCGATGGCAGCTCAGAGGTTGCATCTAGCCTCAGAGTTTTGGGAGAGGGACATTAATTTTAATAACAATGCCCCTTAATGTATTTCTGTCATTCTGGTTATGGATATGAGATGTTCTTTGCCCTTCTCATCCCTCAAATCTGTGTCATACCAATTAGTATAGTGAAATGGTTGCAGTTTTATCCCAGAGGAATGGAGCGTGAAGCTCTAAGTCATATATACCTTCTTGCCAATTACGCGTGCGTACAGTCTCATCTGAACATAGGCAGCGCTTAGCCGTTGGCCTGGATACACCGTATTCTAAATTAGAAGTGCTAATTATTTATTCTCACCAGCCATCGCCTTGCCTGTGGCAGGGGCAGAGGTGGTTGGCCACCCAGGTTCTTTGAGGGAGAGCTGTAAGAATAGAATCTATAGCTAGCTGGTAGCTCACGGGTCACCAAATCCGTCGAGTCCCTGCATTGTCATTGCTGAGAACACTTGATTTTTCACCACCGCAGTTGGGAAGATTCCGTCTACTATTCAAATTCTGTTTGCTATCTAAATACTCTATCTGCCCCGCTTTCTCTCTAATGTAGGAGATGTCAGAGTTTCTGATTCGTGCGAGGTAACCAGCGACGCCACACTAAGCTGACAGTCCTGACAGAGGCAGAGCTCCTGGGTGTTAATGAACTCGATGTGCTTTTCATGGTCGTTTAAATGTGTAATTTCCATGGGCGGGGGCAGGGGGGGAGGGGAGGTGCTATTCTTTCTGACATCGTGCTAAACCCGGCCTGAATACTTTGCACCGTATATTACATCATTTCCCACAACAATCCTGTAAGGCGTCGTCTCCCAGGACACCCCCACCCTCCCAGTTCATTGCTCTGGCCACTGTGCCACATACCCCGTGAATTTCGCATAGTTTTAATGTGTCATTTCATTTAAAAAATGAGTCAAGAACTGGTAGTGTGGAAGGAAAACTGTTTTTGAACTTTAGGGTGATCCAGAATCTTTCAGTCCCTTCTCTAGATACGTTCCCTTCCCCTCCCCCTCTCCTTCACATGCTGAACTAGCGGCAAACCCACAAAACAATGCCTGACATAAGAGCGGTGGCCATGTTTCTCTCTAGTAACAAGGAGTCCAGAAGTTGTCTGTATAGGGCGATGTAGCAGCTCGACAGTGTCTTCAGAGACCCAGGCTGCTTCTAGTTTTCTACTCTTTCAGTCTCGTCCTCATGTATGTAAAGCAGCTGCTGGAGTACCAGCCACCACACACGTTTCTGGCATAAAGAAGAGAGAAAGCGAAGGACAAAGGCTTGAGCCAGGCAAGGCTTTCTTTTTTTAAAGGGCTTTCTTGGTGTAAGGACTATGGTGTAAATATGTGTGTGTGTGTGTGTGTGTGTGTGTAAGCTTCTCTCAACGGTTTTGTTTTATTGACCAGGACTGTGGTGTGAATATGTATAAGTGTGTGTGTGTGTGTGTGTAAAATTTTAGGCTGGGTACATCACTACCTGCAGAAAAAGCAAAGCTCTGTTCCCATGAGA